CACTATATTTTGACAGCTGGTCAGGTTTCACAGGGTGCCAAATGCTCTAAAAAGTTTCAGTCTTAACAGCTATTAACAAAAACAATGAACCCAACGAGAAAAAAAAAAAAAAAAAAAGGAAGAAAAGGAAGTAAGCACTCTGCAAGTGACAATTGCTCTTAAGAGGTTTTGGGTTTTTTTCTTTTAAGACTTCCTAAGGTAATACAACTGCAGATGTATATACATTGACCTCACTTTTTGCCTGGTGGAAGAATCTGGCATAAAATGGCTAGGTAGATCTCCTGTCCAACAATGCAAAACAAGAATCCAATCTGTGTCCTACAGCTTTCACGTTATCATTAGGCACCAAAGTTGTTCTTGAGAGCCAAAAGAGCTAAGAAAATTACTGCCTCTGGCAATATCAAAACTACACAGCCTACCAGATACGTCACAAGCTGGGTCTGCAAGCCATTTGCAATTTTTTCCTTAATAATTTAGTCCACGGAAAAGAAAAAAGTTACTAATTCAGTATTCACATAATGATAAACACATTCACGTGGTAATGTCCATCTGCTTTTCCATAAAGGCCTTCTAGAGAACACCAAATTAACAAAGGCCACCCTTCATCTCCCTAATGAAGCACTGCCTACATAGAATTATACTGCAGCAGAAAGATCTACAGCTCATACTGACACCCGCGTTCAAAATTCACCTGAACTGTCGTAAGAACAACTTGTACAAGGTCAAGTCTGCCATACTCCTCAGTGTACACACTTTTCTCAGCCTGATGCTATTTCACTGTAAGAAGGGAAACAAAGTAGATGTGTCACTTCATAACTGTGTTCCAACCACAGAAAAAGGCAATCGTCTCAATTGCAATTACAACACGAGCCCCAGCTCATCGTCTTTCAGCATTGAGCGTATCGATGGTCATTTTCAGAGGGCTCTCAGTCTAAGAAAACATAACTTGAGCTGGAATGAGATCTAAGAGCTTGCAATTTTAGGCAAATCTCTTAGTAAACATGGCTCTCGCCTTGAAAGCAAATTAACTGCATGGGACAGAATTCACAACATGATTTGTTCCTTTAACTAAAACACTTAATTTGCTTCCATTCTTCTTGTGTTTCTTTTAAAAATAATTAATACATAGAAACAAAACATGTAATATATAAATCTAACCCAACTCTGACACATATTGAGAATGAAACATGCAAAAAAAGCAGAAGTCGGTCTTGAGGAGCTCAAGAGATGAGCCAATTGTCAACTCCTATGTACTGAGAGGGGCCTCAGCCCATCCTCCCTGCGTTGCCAGGCAACCATTCCTGTATCCTTAGCTGTATTCATTAGCCATTAACCACCATCAGGCTCCCTTTCTTTTCTCCCTCACACAGGCTCCCACTCTGAGATCTGTGAAGGGGAGGGGGAAGTTAAACAAGATGACTTTCTTCCTGATCAGAAGTAACAGTTTGAGTTTTAATAGCTAATAGATTTTAGCCAATTCAGACAATTCATATAATTGCTTTGTAGTGAAAGATACACCATGATTATAAGGTACAATTCTTTTAGTACCAGGGCTCTGTTAAAAGTCGACATTAATAGAAATCTTCTAAAATGCCTATTATTAGACAGTGATGATCTCATGCTGACAGTACTAAAGTGCCCTTTGAATTTGTAAAAAATAAAATAACAGATGACAGCTTTTTAACTCCAGAAGAATGGCATTCAACATGCGGAAATGCTATTCTAAACCCTGTCTAGAAAAATAAGAATCAATTGATCTCAGAAGTAGAAATGTGTTCTCTAATTTATTCCATGGAAACAAAGTAACACTTCCACAACTAGAACTACTGACCCACTGTTCTTAGCATCAACATCGTGTCTCTTACCTTTTCTATTTTTGACACCTCCATGGGGACATGTTTTCAGGTCTGTCAACCATCACTGAAAAAGGAGCCTGATTAGAGATTATTAGGACAGGGACCGTGAGTAAGACTGGAAAATATCCTTACAAGGAAAGGCTAAAAGAGCTTAATCTGATATTTTAGTGGAAGTTTGGGTGTGATTAACCAGCGGTCTAAATAACTAAGCCAGGATCAGAAATACAATAGCATGAGGTTGTGCAGGTAAGCACAAAAAAAAAAAAGGTGCTATTTTCAGTGCTTCAAGCTGATTCACGCAAATTCAAGAACAGAACAGGGCAAATGTTTTCCAACAGGGTAATCTGTTGGGCATGTTTCCAAGAACCATTAGAGCTTTTCCATCACCAAAATCTTCAGGATTGGAGGCTTTTGCTTTGTTTTAAGTACAGAAATAATTATCCCAAGGAACGCCTATTGCCTCCAGTCAGGACAACTACAATGGTCGCTCCAGCTTTGAATTACTCCATGGTCTGTATATAGCAACTGCCAGGGGAAAAAAAAAAAACACACCACAAGACTTTTACATTTAACATGAAGAACTGGTAAGAGAAGGAACAGTGCTATCACCCAGAACGCCTACTCTCCCACAAGTCCTTTATAAGGCTCCTGGGGGGTTTGTTATACACTTCATGAACCAAGACATCAAATGAATGAAATTTAGCAAAGCATATGTAATGCACAGAAACAACTGTTGTGTCAAAAACTACATGATGGAGACAGTTCTACAGGACAGAAGGAAACATTGTGACTACTACTGTTTATTCCTCAGAGCACAAAAGCATTCCTGTGGTCTCATGGTTCACAAAATTTTCTTCTGGTTGTGTCCACACAGGTCACTGAAGATTCTTTTTCACTTCCAGATTAAACTTCTGTAATTTTCACCCAAAGCAGATTGCGTGAGAAAAAGGATTTTGTGTTGTCCATTTTATAATTACTTTAGTATAACAAGCACAGTCATGCCTATTTGCTAATTAGACAAACGCAATACTGATCGCTAACAGATTTCTTAAATATTTCTCTCTGATGTCAGAGCCTAACAGAAACTTGAGAACTATTTAAACCATGAAACCATTGTGATACAACGAACTGTCAAAGTGGTTTGGTAGCACCAAACACAGCGAAGAGAGAAAGCACAAGAATCTGAAACGATTCTTGCTGTGACCACATGGCCCAGAGGTGTCGGGAGAGTTCCCATCTTCAGGGACAGCAGCCTCTCCACAAGCCCATCTCTCCATCTGTTAGCCAAGGTAACCACTTACTGTGCTTACGGGAAGCGTTTCAAATATAGCATGGAAACAGCCATCCTGGCCACACAGAGATACCTCTCTGAACTACTGGGAAATGCCGTTTTGCTTTTTTATTTCTTGTGACTGCCTAAATTCTATAAGCATATTGTTGTAATTTCTAGAGCCAGATAACTTCATCATTGCAAGTTCTTCTGTCTTGATCCCTAGATCATTAAAGCTTCAGTTCATTAACACTGTATCAGTATCATGATAGCAATTTAGAGTTCAATATTTGCTAATACTAAGACATTCTGACCATCTGTGAGTCTTTGGGCATTTCCCAAGTATGTCAAATATCAAGTTTTAATACACACTTACCTGGAGTCTTACTATAGGAGCAGCTGCATTTAAATACTATTCAAATCAGAAAATTATTAGTAGCAATTTATTTAAATAACTCCACAGTCCTTAAAGAAAACTTGTAATTCTCATGAAGTCCTTAGAGAAGAATCACAATTCCCACCCTAAATGAGATACAACCAAGCCCACAATAGTGTCATCAGGCGGAACAAATTTATAAAACAAAACTCTTATCCAGCTATGGGTTGCTGTCCTACTCCATGGGCAGGCTCACTGAAGGCCCAGCACTTCTTTTGAAAGAATTCCTGACAGCTTTATTTTGATCTCCTTTTACAAGCAAAACTACTGAATCTGATCTGGTTCTAGAAATACCTGACACTTAGGGGCAAAACCTGGGCCTTTAAACCAAATACACAACTGAACATATTTTCACAGTGATTTTTTTCAAATGTATTGTGCTTCCTGGAACTTGCTTTTATGGCAAGTGGCAGTATCACAACTCCCGATACTACGGATATGAAGCATGCGGTTTCCATTACATCGAAAGTTAGAGAAAGTTTCACTTCAAAATAATGCTTTTTGAGTATAGCAATCTCACTGATCCTGCATCCACAGACATAGCTGTGCAAGTAGATCCAAAAAGTTTCAAACATTGAAAATTACCTGTTTTGAGTGATTTCAAATGAACAAACAAGACACAGTGAAGAGTTGAATGAGCTATGGCCATGATAAAGGACTAGTCAGTGGAGATTAAGAATACTTAGCTATACTTGCAAGCAATAAAGTTAAAATTATTTTCTGCGAAAATTTCACAACACAAGCTTGCCATATCACCATGGAACACAGTAAGTTAAACAATTCTGGAGTAGAAAGACTAAAAATATGCAGTGTTAGAGGATACATCTTCCATATACATGAGAAACCAAAGCATATAGATATATAATGAAAACTGTAGAGTGCTGAAAATTAGTCTCTGGTTTGGCTCTTAATTTCCTACAGATATTTAATTATTCCTTCATCATTTTCACTGCCTTACTTTCTATACCAGGAGTATGGTACCATGAAAATAAAATTAAGAGGAACAAAAATGTGAATTCCCATTCTAGCAATTTTGTTTGCAACTGAGCTCATGAAATAAAGAAGCTAGAGTTGCAACCTGATTTTCAATTATTTATACTTTGCTGCCTTCGTAATTTCATATTTTCCATTCAATTATAGTGATCTCTGCTTCACATGCATATTCAATTTTTAGACAAAAACAGACACTTGCCAAGGCAGTAAGACACATAAGCATTCATGCCACTGACTGTCATTTTGTTTAATTACTGAAGCTTACCCAAAATTATTGGCTCATGCTTACACTTTATTTTGACTAAACACTAAGTTTTGCAACTTAACTCGTTGAAATGCTGTCTTTGTTCTGAGCACGTAATATCCTCACATTTCTTTTTCAAACACAACTATGATGAGAAGAAAAGTTTGAATAGATGTTTGATACTTATTTTTATTTGTTTACCTTAAAGCCAAGATGGGATCAGTTTTGTAGAAACTTTTTCATGAAGGCATATTTTCAATCTGGCCTCTACATTAATTCTCTGCAAAAGAGGAACGCACCACATTTTACAACACTACTCATCGAAACAAAAAATTAAGCATTTGCAATGATGTAAATATAAATAGAAGATGCATTTTCCTGACACAGCAGCAAAGTAAAATGTATTCTTAAACATGCTGGTACTAATGAAGTATTTTTCTCACTTAAAAAAAACAACAGTGACCGCCTAAAATGTCAAAAACAATGCCCTTGCATCCAGCAAAGTCTGGTTCATGAAGTAGCAGCAGAGAACTTGTGGTGGTTCTTCTGCTCTACTACAAAACACTGGACAATAAACAATTGCCTTGTTTATCCATCAGTAAAGTAGAAGTGTTCTTATTACAAAAAAACCCTGATATCCTGATCATTTCAATTTTTCACCTATTTCCCACTAGCAAACTCATTATCACTCACATAAATCTTCCTCATTCTTTTAATGAAATGCAAAAGGCATCAATGTGTTCCTTCCCCAAGCAAAACAAGGTAGCTCAGTACATATTTAAACAGTCTCTGCCTATATTGCTGCAGCTCAGTACTAATCAAAGCTTATTATAAAGATTCCACAGATAACTCCACTAATAACCCTGTGTTGCCGCACCACATGAATTATAAAACAAAGGAAAAGAAAGGATCAATAGTAACCAAGTTGTGCTGTTGTAATTTTCTGTAAACACAACCGTATCGGGGCCACCAAGAAGTAATCTTGAAAAAAAAATATCGAAACACGAAAAGCACAACAAAAGCCAAACCCACACAATGCACTGCAGCTTCTTTTCCGAGGCATCCCATCAACATCCACAGTGCAGAACCCACCCAGCTCCTTCAATACTTCATTTTGTAGGACCATAGCCGGTACCAATCCAGTAAACCAAATAATGCATTGAACTCGCAGGAGCGCAGTTTCCATCTCACAGACACTAGTTTTTTGTATAAATTTTACTGATCCAACATAAGGGCTGTAGCAGCCATGTTGAATCAGGCCTCCTCTTGTGCAGATAAGCAAGTGGGAAAGAGTAGTTGGGGGATGGACGGGCTTTGGGTGGAGGATGAACTGCCTTTTACATCTTTTCCTAGGTATGTATTCAAAGGTCTGACCAAAGTTATCTTCTAGACAACAAGGAGAATAAAATCTGTAAAAGAAAATTTTAACGTGTGTTGGAATTTATCATCCGGAGATTAATTATCTTCCAAAAAAAACCATAACTGATGGTACTTTAACTATCTGTACTGCAGTTGATGTTTTAATTGCCTTTGAGGTAACCCGCAGAGTCACAGTTCATCAAAATGGAAGAACACCAGGAAGATAGTCCCTTTATCATTGCAGATTTGAACCTGTCAGACACACAATTTGGGTTGGGAGAAGCTTAAGTAGCCACCTGGTCCACACACACCCACCCCCATTTAAAATAGGAATAACATCAACATTAGATCAGGATGCTCAGAGCGTTGTATGCTCAAGTAAAACTAAGAGGACAATACTAGGCCGAAACTAGATTGATGATAGTTTACTTGAGCGTTGTATGCTCAAGTAAAACTAAGAGGACAGTACTAGGCCGAAACTAGATTGATGATTTTTGCCCTTCAAAGACCTGGTCCCATTTTCACAAAGACAGTTGACAATGAACTGCAGCAAAGCAGCAAAATTTTAAAACAAAGTACATTTTCTTGACAGTCATAAATACAATATTGTACTACTATTCTGCAACACAACCCCTTTAAGCACACGTTACAGTTATGGTCTTACTGGGCAAGATAAAAGGGGGAGAAAAAAAATTTTAAATAAATCACTCCTTTCCCTGCACCTGAAAAAGACTTATTTGCTCACAGGTCTCAGATAAAAGCTTCACATTAAAACATTTCATCTGTTTTACAGTTTTACTGCTCAAAAGATGAACTATGAGATTAATCCAACTTTCTATTAAGCTCTAGAGATAGCCACATGCCATGCAACTCATAAGACTTTAGGGTTTGGACATCAGTAGTAGATATTGAATATATGAGGGAAGCATTTCAAAAAGGCATTAACACTAATAGGGCTTACATATGTGTATCGAGGGAAAAATAGCCGCTAAGTTATGATATTACTCAGTCATGATCCAGAGATACAGAAATAAGCCGACTACAATTCCACAGAATTCGGAGAACTTCTTAATTCACTCAGAAGAATCTTTGATTTCTTCTAAGGGGGGGGGGGAGAGTTTAAATCAAACTAATCAAAGATTTTTCTGCTTTATGTGTTTGAAGAACAAGTGCAGGGGAAAATTTAGCAGACACAGAATGATTTTTATTTTTTTTTAATTGAAAAACAGAAGAAAAAAGAACACAGTGAACTCTGTCCATAAAAAGTCAACAGGCTGTATTTTTGTCCCATCTTTTGCATTGAGACAGAGAGCTATTTAAAACATGCAGAACATTAAGGGTTTTCTCTCACTATGACTCATAAATTCAGGATCTCACACCTCTGCATCTCCTAGAAATGCAGTTATAAAGGGGACAATACGATTTCACCATTTACTATATAACATGAGATTCAAGATCAGGGAACTTAGAAAAAGGTCATGTTTCAGTTTTCTGCTTAACTATATGGAGACACTTATTTCATTACTGACCACCCTCCTGTGCAGAAATGACAATGTTTATAATATACTTCTCAATTTTTGTCCATGTCACCTGTACCTTTACCTTTTAAGCAACCAGCAAAAGTACAGATAATGACTCTGAAGTAATTTAAGTAGGCAAGCATTAGCCCAAGGAAAAAAATTCCTGTTCACAAATCCTGAAGAAATTCTTCTCCCCCCAGCAAAGTTTACATTTGAGAAGTATTATTGCTGGGAGAGAACGTTACAAATTGGAACAGAAATCACATTTGACTCAAAATTATAATCCCTGTGTTTCACATGAGGCTCAGAATTCAGTGGGTAGAGAAGGCAGAGAGAGAAGGGAGGAACACAACCACAAATGGATTAGATGCTGTCACTTACAATCCATCATCACACTTTCTCAGATTATGAAAATGAATTTTTCCCAGCAGTACATTTTATGCTTGACAGATTACAGATCAGTTTACACATTCAAAATTGGAGCGCTTGGATTCTACAAAAGTTCAGGTCTTTTGAGACCAGCATTTATTATATGGTTTGACATGAGTCAAGAGAAACATTCAACAAGACAATGCCAGAGACACTTTCAGGCAATGAAATGGGTGAAGTCACAAACTCCTTAATGATTACTTCAGCAAGCCTGAATGTAACACTTTTTCCTTGACTATACAGCTGGCTCACAAAGGTCATTAGACTATTATATTCACTGTTATGTAGAGCAGCACTATACACATGCAAAGTTTCTATAGCAACTCTTTCTTAATTCACTCTTTAAGCAAAACACCAATTAGCTTTTTATTATAGCCAATTAAAAAAATCTGCACACTAATTGACAACCTCTCTACTCAGAATTTAAGCTTATGCAAAAGAAAATTGCAGTGAAATTTTCTGTGGTAATAGCTTACTTCCTATTCTTCCTTCATAACAGAACAGTAAATTATTCTTGATAGGGGCTGAACAGTTATTTTCAATCTAAAACGTTTAGACACACAGAAGTAACCTGTCCTGATATGACTGTAATCTTAGTAAAACCTGCAGATTACAGGTTTCAGAAAGGCAACAGAAATGTAATCTGCATTGCAGGAAATTGGGCACAGGCAAGTGCACCTGGAGATCATGCAAGAGGCAGTCAGCAAAATGTTTCTCTCTCAGGCTATTTACGCACATTGAGCCAAGGGAGAAAGATGGCAAAAACCAGTACTAAAAGTCAAATTCAGTAGGGCAGCAGAGACATTTTCTTCATGCTTCTTAATACTTATTGATGGTTTTCTCAGATGTCTTCTACACAGCTGGTGTTGACAGCTTCTTTGTATGCCACTTCAAGTAGCAAATATCAAGATATATTAGTCAGAAAACAGTCAGCAAGCACAATATAAAAAGAAACCCATCATGATGCAGAGTATCAGGAGAAGTAATCAACAATAAAAGCTAAACCATCCTTCTCGGTAAGATGCTCTGCAGAAAGCTGAATAAAAAAATGTCATTCCCCTTACAGTTCTTCCATGTGAGACGTTGGGATTCACCTTACTAATAAATCCATACACACAAAGTAGTACATGGCTCCTCTGACAAGCTTGGCACGCCCCAATCGAGACTTAATGGTACCCGAGGTATCAGTAGGTCTGCTGGTTCTTAAAGACTACTTGCAGAAACTACTTGTGTTCTCTTACTTACTCACACGGTCGTCTTCTGCAGTATTAGTATAGAAACTTCAGGCATCTGGCAAGCTATGTGGGGACACAACGGCAGTAACCAGGAGTTTCCCTTGAAAGGCTGATGAAAAGGAAGAGGGCTTCGATTGGTTTCAATTCTACCACTGTAGAGGAGATAGCAAGGTATTCCCACATGTGGAAGAGACCACTGTGTATAATCTTGGAGATACAGAACTTGCTGCGGCATGAGAAGATGATCTGCTGCAAAGCCAGTAGGGTCTGGAGTACCTCGGTGGGCTGGGCAGTAAACAAGGACACCAGAGATAAGGGACTAGGGTTAAGCAACACAGCTACAGGCTTTTATTCTTGGTTCTTTAGAGAGGTCAACTCACAAACTCAGCTCGCTGAATTGCCAGAAAATGGTCACACATTCAAGCTCTAAGCCTTCCAGGTGCAAAGTCCCTGCTACCTCCTGCAGAGAGATTGCATCGGTCCAAGACACAGTGCGCAGTGTTACACACAAAGTACTAGTTGAAACCGATGTAATTTTTAGTCCAAAGACTGAAGAGTTCTCCTCTAGAAAACCCCTGCTACCAGCACCTCACCAAAATATGGGACGGTTCCTACATCTCCGCAGTGCACGTCTCTCCCTTCTCTGCCCTTGAAGGAGGAGAACAACCCATGGCTCAGCACAAGACCCATCGGTCACAGTAATGCAGTAGTGAATACCCGAGATTACCAGAGCAAAT